CTTAAATCCTTTCGAATTTAGTCTTGATTCAATGGCATTTTAGTTCAGGGAAGGATCGGATTGCTTTTCTGCACAGCAAACCGTGCTTTCTCGGAGATATTCAATGGAGAAACGATACCCGACAAATATATTTTAATATTTAGTTTCCCACATTTTCTTAAGAATTAATTAGGAACTGCTTATCTCTTGAAAACATTTCTCGTTATTTCGTTTCGAAGAAAATCTCTTTTTCCAATCTCGGAAATTCTTGCCTCTAATTTATCGCTTCATTTCATTAGAAAAGGGCATTTAAATTTTTATTTGTCAAGATATCATCTTAATAATAACTGAATACTGTAATTTATAATATCAGAATATTGTATGTTATTATTATCTTTTATGGAGTTATGGTTTGTTTTTATAAAACGCAATTTTAATACTACTTAAGGTCCATGCATTGTAAACCATATAAGATGTCTCCTAAACAACGTATCCACTCTCTTATCCGTCCAACGTTAATAGTTATGAGAAAATGCTGTCTAGGTATAGTTAAGTGGCTATGTACTACAGCATTCAGCGCCATCTAGTGAATCACTGCAGAATTAGCGCTTATACCTCAAAAACAGAATGTTGTTGTTGTTGTTCATTTACGTCGCACTAGAGCTACACAATGGGGTATTGGCGACGGCCTGGGAAACATTCCTGAGGATGATCCGAAGACATTCCATTACAATTTTGATCCTCTGCGGAGGGGATGGCTCCCCCGCTTCGGTAGCCCGACGACCTGCGCGCGAAGACGAGCACTTTACGGTAGAACAGTTTAACGAGGACCAATACCGCACACCCTCGGTCCCTACGCAGGCTGATCCAAGTGGTCACCCACCCGCACACTGACCGCAGCCAGTGAAGCTTGACTTCGGTGATCTGCTGGGAACCGTGTCTTAACGATCAGTCCACTGCGGGACTCAAAAACAGAATGATATGAAAAAAAGAAATTACAAAATTGTGTAGCATCATCGATTTAGTTCAAATAGACACCTAAATGCTTAAAAATCGCATTTTTTCGTGAATAATTTCCAATGTAATGACAAAAACAATTTTAGATATGACGAAAAAATTGGTTATTGCAAGATTTTCAGTATTCAAACTTGGTGTCGTAATGGTTCAAGGGATGCCTCCTAAAGAGGTAGCCTGGGTTCGAATCTTAGCGGTTTCTGTATGATATAAATTCCACACCCGGCTAGTACTGATCATAGTGCTGACGTTAAATATCCTCAGGGGTGGACGAATTATAGATTATATTCCCCATGCCATCAAGCTAACCATGGGAAGTTTTCGTGGTCCCCCCCCCCATGTAACTCTGCGGGTCTCGGATTCTCGGGTTCAAATCCTAGCGAAGGCTTTTCAATATGAATTCTGCACCCGACAACAGTGATGACGTAAAATATCCTTAGTGGTAGACGGATCATGGATTAGAGCCTATTTTCCGTCTGTCTAACCGTGGGAGGTTTTCCTCTCCGTGTAAAGCAAATGCGGCTTAGTTCCATCTAAAAGTTCATCACAAAGGCTAGATTGTCCCAATACTTGATACTGAAGCTCCCTTGCCTTCTGGATAGGGTTCAAAATCACAAGGATGCGCAGTTGAACATTGGTAGTAACTCAAAATTGGATCGGCTGTTCAACGACGGTTGTAAAATATAAAATAAAATAGTATTCCCATTTAAAAATAAATTTTTTTAGAGCAATTCAGGTTCACTAATTCGCAATGATTGTGATTTTGAAGCGAAGGAGAAGAAATGAAAGTTTGATGATCATCGAAGTATAACAAACATTCTGCAAAAGTTCAAGGGTGAACATTTTATCAATTTAATGATGCGTATCCATCAGTTTAAGCAATATAAGAATGCCTAATGGAAGTTACATTGCTCGCAGCTTTGAAAAATGTCGAAAATTTTCTTTACATCGCATGCAAGGCCAAGTTGAAATTTGGTTGTTTGAAAATCCAAATTATAGGCGAAATATCTAAATTTGTGTAATATTCATGAACAGGTAGTTAAATTATATTATTAAGTTTCTTGTTTATGGAATGGTATATATGAAACTTTAAATAAACAGGAAATACTGTAACTGAATGATTCTGATACATAAATATTTTTTAGTTATATGCTTCAGTTTAAGCAATATAAGAATCCCTAATGGAAGTTACATTACCCGCAGCTTTGAAAAATGTCGAAAATTTTCTTTACATCATATGCAAGGCCAAGTTGAAATTTGGTTGTTTAAAAAATTCAAATTACAGACGAAATATCTAAATTTGTGTAATATTCATGAACAGGTAGTTAAATTATATTATTAAATTTCCTGTTTATGGAATGATATATATGAAACTTTAAATAAACAGGAAATACTGTAACTGAATGATTCTGATATATAAATATTTTTTAGTTATATGCTTCAGTTTAAGCAATATAAGAATGCCTAATGGAAGTTACAATACTCGCAGCTTTGAAAAATGTCGAAAATTTTCTTTACATCATATGTAAGGCCAAGTTGAAATTTGGTTGTTTAAAAATTCAAATTGCAGACGAAATATCTAAATTTGTGTAATATTCATGAACAGGTAGTTAAATTATATTATTAAATTTCTTGTTTATGGAACGGTGTATATGAAACTTTAAATAAACAAGAATTACTGTAACTGAATGATTCTGATACAAAAATATAGTTATATGCTTGGTTAAATTGAGATAGAATATTATTAATTTATATTGATTTGCCTGGAATTTTATTAAAAAAAAAAACTTAAAACAGTTCATCGACGCTATTTTGATTTTTACTCAGAAAAAAATCTGGTTGTTTATGAGATGTTTTTATTTTTTATTTTCTAATCTCAAATTATCTATAATTAAAAGTGTTTTTAAAACTCTTTCGTTAGGGAAACGAAAGCTACAGTTGGAACTTTTGAAATTAGAAGCAAAGTTAAAAATTTAATTCAGATTTTGATGAAAAGAATTAAGTAGACTTTTAATATTTTATATGTTTAAAATATTAATTAGTTGGAAAAATGGGAAATATCGATGATTTATTGAGATTTTGAGAAACACTTTCAATCATAATTTTGATAGACTATTGTCATGAAGTTCGTTGTGACATTTCTCTGGCTCAATTTTTCCGGCAATTATACATTTGATTAATATCCAGTGGCCTGATATTCAAATCTTATCAATTGGTCAGTTGATTTTTTAACTTGCTTTATTTTAAAGCAGGGCCCAATTGTGCTTTATTTTACTAAAAAAATAATCATAACATAAAAATTATTTTTAATTATACATTGCATGTCTTAATAAATCAATAATTCATGGAAAAATTATTAATTTACCTGTTTGAAGTCGAATATTTCGCTTTATTTAATAATTTACATTATGATATTACACATTATTGAAAAAGCTTTACACAACATTTCCTTAAATATTGAGTTGAATTTGTTTTTAATTATTTGCTCAACTCGGAATATTGGCTGTTTTAGCAAAGCTACTTTATTGACAAGCATATTTAATGTTTGAAAATAGTATTTTGTTTTCTATAATAGTGCATCCATGGTAACAATACATACTTTATAGGAGTGTTGACTGTTATTGATAGCTTTCAATTTAGCTTGATAACAGTATATTTGAAATTTTACTAAATTTGCTATGTACATTTTATGCAGTTTTTTTACTGATGGATTTGCAATGACATAAAATTATCATACTAATAATATATATACTATTTCGACATTTGTGAAACAAATTGATAGTTCAAATTTATTATTTTTTCATAAGTATAAAAATTCGTTGAATGTATTACAGTTATAAGTATAAGAAACATTTCTGATATTATACATAGTTAAAATTGTTTTCCTTTTAGCAATATTTATAGTAGAGAAATGTTACTGTTAAAAATTATTATAATGCTAATTTTAACATTGCTCTGATATAGCAATATTAATAGTTATTATATTGCTCTGATATTGATGTACATTATAATTAATTATAAATAATGGGTTACACTAATAATTAATTTTCTTCTTTGTTCTGATAGAGCAATATTAATTATAAGTTTATAACTAATTATGATAATAAGAATGCATCATGATTCATGTAATAGGTTACAATTTTTGTGCTCTAAAAGACAAACTTATGATATTTTGTAGATATGAGTCATTAATTACTGAATTGTAAAAAACACATATTGAAGTTTATTTGATTTGAAAACAATAGGATAAAGCTCTTTCATTTGTATTTTTTCCTAATTATTATGTATACTTAAATTTTAAAATTATAAATTATTAAATTAAAATTTTTTCCCTTGTTAATATTACATCAGTGTTTACCAACAGACAGATCCAATAAGATTTAAAATAGGTTTGATTGTTGGAGAAAATTGAGATGTAGTTTAAAAAAAGGTTGTTAAAAACACATTAACCATTTAAACCGGTTTTGATGTTTATTACATATGCTTTCTTCTTCTTCTGTAATTTATCAGATTTCAATAAGTTTTTGCTTTATCCTCTCTTAAATATTAGTTTACAACCTCCGATTTGTATCTTTTTCTAGTTCAGATTTGTATCCTTTTCTTCCGAGTTGTTTTCTTTTTTACTATGGCTCTAAAAATTCATATTGAAGGCGGCTTTTATAGAACACCCTGCATAAGCCAATTTTTATAGGAATTTGATTAAATGTCCCTCTCAATGTGCTTCTGTGACATGTCTCTCCATGTATGTAAGTTCGAAAAATTCCTAAACAATATTTACAGTTCATTACTTATTATGTAATTGTATTATAATACAAAAACATTAATTTGCGAAAAATTCTTGGTTAACATGTCATCAAATATTATGTATTAGGTTAGAAAGAGCATTATTAATAAAAATTAAAGAAAGAAGAAAAGTATTATTTGTTCTCATACTACTTATTACGCTGTACAATTCAGATAAAAATACCATGACAAATGAGAAATACACAAAATTATTTCAAATGCAGTTATTTAGAATTTCCTTTATTTCATACCCATTCTTTGTAAAGAAATTTACATTAATATATACAATGAGAAAATAGTGAACATATATAGTCCAACTATTTAAAAGCATATATTACGTCATCAAATATGATTTTTTTTTAAAGAAAAGCAGAATTGTTTAACAAACATATACACAAAGTATTTATCACAAGTAGACAGTAACTGTCTATTTCTTTCAACATACATATCTTTGGGTGAAACTAAAACTAACTCATAAAAATAAGGCAAACCGGTATAAGATTTTTACATGAAAGAAAATTTTTTGTTTAGATTAATTTCAAAATTAATTTACAAAAAGCTCTGTCCTAAATAACTTCATAAATAGTCAAGATCCATTAAAAATAATATATTAAAGAACTACTGTAAGTACATTGAATGTATGTCTACCAATTTTAACATACAAAAAATGGTAAATAAAATTAATTGTTTATATATTAATAATCAGTAGAACTTTCACAGATTAATAAAGTATTGTTTCCATAAATGGAAAGTAATTTTTCTGTTATAAAAAATACATGTGATTACTAAACTTTAGGATGTTATGAATCATTTGGTTTGAAAACAAGTGAATTTTACTTTCGTTTAAAATTAACGTTTTTTAATTTCTGAAATCTATTCCTTAACATTTTTGTGCAATTTAAATGAAAAATTCTTTCAGTATTTAAATTTATTTGTATACCTTATATTAGAATCAAACTTTACTTTTAAAAAAAATAATAAAAAAATATTTTCATTTCTTGAATTCATTTAATAAGGTAGCTGTCATTAGTTTCTCTTCGATTACATTGTGTCAATTTTATGAAATCGCTGGGCTTAATGCATGAGAATTACAGATATCAATAAATAAAAAAAATGTTAATTTCCATCTATAAACATTTAAAAATATTAAAAATATATATTTTAGTTTGAATAATGATAGTTTATATTACTAATAGTTTATAATATGATAATAATTTATGAAGTATAAAAGACTTATTTTTTTTATTTTTTATAAACTTCCTCTTCGAGGAATAAGATCTCAATTGTTAAATGCAAATTGTAAGACTTTTATTATTATTATTATTGTTATTTTTCGTAAACTTTGAATTTATAATTTTCCAACTTTTATTTTTTCTTTACTATCAAGTTCTTCCCTATCCTTGAACTAAAGTTTTTATCATCAAATTATATTTTTAACTACTATTTCAGAGCAGCTAGCGTAGAAGTAAATGGATAAACGTAGTAAAAATGAAACAAAAGTAATGGTGCAAAAAGCAAAAGTAAAAGTGGTTATTTAATTAATCTTACTTTTTTAATCATACATTTTTTGGAAAAAAAAAGAAGGACCTGTTCTTGAAAATCTTGTGATAGACCTTCGGAAAACGAATTAAACTGTTATATAAACCAAAGACCTCGTATACATTATTGAATATTGGAAATCTTCACAAAACATAGGAAAATAATTTTGAATTGCACAAAATATACAAGAAAATAAAAATTCGAATGAAAACAATTTGGTATTAATAAATAAAATATCTATATTTTAAAAATATAAGCATAATTTTTAAAAAAAATAACAATCACAGGTTTGAAAATTGATTTCACAATTTACATCTATATTTACAATCCTTTTAAAAATAGAACAAAAACTGGTATTATATATATATATATATATATTTAAATATACATATCATGGCGCCATAATTGTTTTTAAAATAAACAAATCATTTTTTCAAAATCTCTCATAGTGATATCTATAAATTATTTCTAGAAGCTCAATAGGAAATAAAAGAAAATGAACTTTTTCTCCTTTCAAATTGCGTTTCGGTTAAAGGAATGCATTTTAGCAAGAAACGTTTATTTGTAAACTGGTAATTCCGTTTTTTAAACTGGTATTAACGGTTAAACTGGTATTAACGTTTTTATGTAAGCTGGTAATTCTGTAAGAGTATCCACCAACATTTTTTACAGTGTGTAGGACATAAAAATTTAAAAATACCAACAGAATAAAATAAAATGCTTTGATAATTAATCATTTTTTAATCAGAAAGAAAAATATTTTTAAAAGATTTAATTCTTCTCTTATTGTTGCTCATTATAATAATAAATCTAAATATAAATTAAACAATTTAAAAAAAGTTAGCGGATAATCGTTATTAAAAAGTAAAGTTATGTAAATTTAAAACTAATAAACAATGTCAAAATAGAGTTTTAGAGAAAATAAAACCAACAAAACTTTCACTTTCAAGATCCCAAAAGAAATACTTTTAACGAATTAATTATTTTGTGCGAAACATAACTAAAAACAATGAATAGTGAGGAAAATAAATAATACAAATTAGATATTTTATGTTAGTCAATATACATGTTTTCTGTCTTAATTTCGTAGAAATGTAAAACAATGTATTATGCTTCAAAACATATTTTTTATTCAGTAAAATTCAGTTGATACAAAGAAATTTAAAGCTATTTTCATATTTTACTTGATTTTACTACAAGAAACCATTCTTACATAAGAAATTATTCTGACATGTAAAAATAGATATTTGTATAAAAATAATTCAGCACTACATTTATCTTTCTATAAATTTGTACAATATACTGTCGAGTAATCTGTATAGACTCGTATTTAGCTTGTAATGTACAGAGATGTGGGGTGCGGTTCTGAAAATGCATATTGAGAAATGAAGCAACCTTTGACCTAGTAGGCTGCATTTCAGCATCCATCAAAGGGTGGTCAAACCACAGATAAAAGACATTTTGCAGGACCAGGTGCAGAGGCGTGGGCGAAAAGAAGGATATAGCCGTTCTCATTCAGAATCTTGCGTGAACGGGAGCGTCCTTGAACGTCGTGGTGCGCGAACAGGAGCGTCGATGTGATCTTTGCAAATTGCAGCAGGACATTGCCGACCCTAGGTGGAAACTGTGACTACTCCACCCTTAGAGGGTACTCATGGCATGTGACCCCAGCACCGCCTACCGTGTTTTCTTGATACACTTAAATTACAAGCGTCTGAGAAAAGTGGGTACCTTTTGTAATAGGCGTTTGTGTCGCGTATAAGAACGGGTTTTTCTTTTGAAAAACCCACGGTCCTCAGCTTTTGTTCCTTTTATTTCAGTTTCACTTTCGGATGTGATTATTCTTTTATATTTAAAATGTGGTTTGTTTATAAAATTAAAATACATTTAAAAGAAGAGTTCAACAAAGAATGGTTAGGTTAAACAGAAGAAAGCGAAGAATTTGATCAATGCTTTTCTTTAATCAACTTTATGCATCTTGATGTATGAGATTACAGTAACCTTGATTTTGTAAATTTTAGCTAAAATTTAAAACATTACAAATGTGAATATATTTAAATTGATGAATGTTGGATATTGTTGATTTATTTTTGATGAATGTTGGATATTGTTGATTTATTTTTTATGAATGTTGGATATTGTTGATTTATTTTTGATGAATGTTGGATATTGTTGATTTATTTTTAAGACAGCAGATATTGTATTAAACGTTGCAAGTATTGGATACTTCAGAAAATATTACAGGTGACTTAAAGTGCGCTTAAGAAAACTGAAAATAATTTCAAATCAAACTTCCTTTCTTTAAAAAAAAATCTCTCTGTTAAATATTGATTCAAAATTAAGCAACAGAGAATGCTTTTCAAAATATTTTAGATTTACCAACGATTGGTACAGGTTTGAATTAAGAGAATTAATGATCCCCACGGTACTTAGAAACATATTTGCGGCAACTTTAATAAAGAACCTTGCATTTATTCAAGTTGAACTGTAGTATCAAATTTAATAAGGTTTTATTCGAACGATAATGAGCTAAACTTGAATGATATCATGATTCAATCCATTCTAAACTTGACGTTTTGAAATTTTTCCTTCTCGGTCAAGTTAACTAAGTTAATAAAAACGTTTTCTGGTGCTTAATATTCTTTCTCTCTTTGATTTCTTTCCTCACTCATAGGATATGATTTCACTGTATTAAAAATAATATTAGTAGACTACGTATTAAATTTATTTATAACAGTAACGATAAGCAAACACTAAAGCAGTAGTTAATATATTTTAAGAGCAATTATTATCAGTTAAGTTTTTTTTTATACAGAACACGAGGAAATTAAGATACATCAACAATATTAGTTGGAAAAGTATTAATGATTGTCTTATGTATTAAAATCGGTGGAAAATGCGCAAATTGTGAAAAATATGGAGTTATCAATTAGTACATCTAAACTGAAAATATAGTTATAAATAGAAATAGTTTAACTAATTTGTGTTCACATTTAATTTCAACACAAAAATTATAAACAAAAGAACTTATTGTCTCAGTTACTAAATGATTTCATTGAATTTAATAAAGAAAATCAAAATAAACAAAAACAACAAATCATCTATTTTTCTTATCACGTTACGCGAACGACTTTGAAATATAAAATAAAATATTTTAGTATTTTCCACTGCCCAAAGCAGCTTGAGCGAAAATCAACGTAAAATAGCCTCTATAATCAAAATAATGAGCTATAAATTCAACACATAAATTAACTAAAATATGTCATTGCACTTAGTCATCAATAGTTTCAAATCTTCTACGACAAAGCTGAATGATTATCTGAAACTAGTTTAACTTCCAGTCTTTCACCTAAGTATTAACGCACAGCATTATACAAAGGTTTGGTGTTCAATCAAGGAATAATTCTTTTTGGATTGAATGCTGTTTCACCAAAGCTTTTGCAATTGTAGCAATAAGTTTTTTCTGGTGCAGCAGTGACCGAAGAAGTCATTTAAGTAGACGTTAAATGAATGTCATTTACTAACTGTCGGCGATCGTGAAGATCGAACATCTGTATTTTCATCACCATGACAATGCACGCAATGCATGCACACAGCACAATGTCCAATTCTTCTTGCAAGCGTCGATCGAAGTTTCAGCGCAGGTCCTAACTTCAAACCTAGATGCATCATCAAATGATCTTCGGTTAGCAAAGGTAACGTAGAACCATCTATTGACTCTTCACGGAATTTCTGAAATTAAAAATAAGCAATTTAATGTCATAATCTAAAACACACATAAATTTATAACTTGTTTAATATTCATGAACATTAATAAAATAATTAACTAAGATTTTGGAATATTTTAGTAAAGTAACTATTTATGTAGATGGTACGGTACGGTACTTTTATTTGCGTCGCACTAGAGCTGCGCAATGGGGCTATTGGCGATTGTTTAGAAAGCATCCCTGAGGATGATAGGCACAACATGATGAGGAGACAACATACATACGTCACATCCCGTTTTACAGGGAGGACACATTCACTCACCATCTATCCATCGTAATTTTGAACAGAACTAGAGCATCATCAATCTTTGATCCAGTACCCAGAGAGGTATTGATTTGTTATGGGAACTTCGAGGATTCATTGAACCCGACAGATTTAGCTTGCACCAGTCATAATTTTGTGCATCGGACGGCGGGGATAGAACTCTTGAACATTGCTTCAACGCCCTACCAGCCAGGCTACTCCGGCCCCATTTAGGTAGATGAAAACAGCTTATGAATGTAGATAGAAACCACAGCATAGACTAAAAATTTTAGCAACTGGTTCATTAAAAAGGCCATGGTCAAAATTATTACTAACTGCTAAAATAAATCTTGGAGAGTCTCGAATCATAATCAAAATTTGCTACAACATCAGTATGGGGGAAAAGTGAAATAAAATTACACTTCCACAAAAAGGAACATCTTATTTCAAGACCCCGATAATAACTACTCAATATTTACAACTTCATTTAACGATACTATAGTTCAATTTGAACGGAGATATGGTAAAATTTTCTATCTTAATAAAGTTACAGATACCGGTATTATGGTTTAATGTTGAAGAATTTTTTTGAGAGGGTTGAACTTCTATTAGCATTACTTGATGCTTTCCTGGAGTTGTATAAGGAAATCAATAAAACCTTTGAAAATAGAGATAAGTATGAAAAGTAGATGAATAAAATCAATAATCGCAAAAAAATATATATTATGACAGAGGTATTTGCTGTCAAAATAAAATTAGCTTGTTAGCAAATAAAATGTAATTTTTCTTTTTTAAAAAAATAAAAAAAATCTTGGAATAGCACTGTTTTCTTAAAACTATTTTTTTACAATAGTTTTGTCTTTTCATTAAACGCTATTTAAAAGCTATTTTGTTACATGTTCGAATCAAAGTGTAACCATGGATGTTTAACAGTAAATAAATAAATTTGGTTTAGATACATATACAGACTCGTGTGCTTAATGCAAAGAATGGCCTATTTCTTGCCAAACTACAGTACAGATAGCACAGAAATGAGAAAAACATCACAAAGATACTGAACCAGCTACCTCTACGTTTCAGAGTGTTCGGCGGAAGGACAACACTCCGAGTCAATGGAGATCCCAATTATATGTGGTTGTTTTTCTTGCACCTCGCCGTGCAATATTGCTGTTGCGCTACGTGCTCTGAAGCTTAAATGTTGTGGGTTCAGATCCCGTTATAATAGAAGATGTATATTTTGTATATTCTTGCTGAAATATACTCTGACTGAAAAGAATTTTTAAATCGTTTTTTGTACTTATAAGGATATCCACATGCATATGTAATAAGTAAATAAATTCCATTACTCCCATACAAGATAGTATGAAGGTACTTTATTTACGTCGCACTAGAGGTACATAATGGGTTATTGGGCTAACATTCAATGGGCTAACATTCCAGAGGATGATCCGAAGACATGCCCTCACAATTCTGATCTTCATCAGAGCGGATGGCTTCCATGCTTAGGTAGGCCGACGACCTGCGCGAGGCCGAGAATTTAATGGTAGAACAATTCAATGAGGACCACTACCATAAAAGATGGACAAAACAGTTACCATAGTTTGATATGGAATTTCGTATCTTCATTACACTTTAGTTGAGCATTTAAAGTTATATATCGAAAAATTATATAAGAATAAAAAATATTTAACATTCATCGCACTCCTATAAGCAATTTGAATAAACCGCCATTCTTAAGAAGTTTTAACTGATTAGTATCATTCTTTTTGGTAAGAGGCATTGACATCAAAAAGTTTAAATTGCCAAAAGAAATAGTAAAATGAGTGACAACATGAATCTGAACAACATTTTGGTAATTTTTTCGCTATACTTCAGAGCATGGCATAAAAATCATTTGGTTTGTTAAATTTACTTTTCAGTTTAAAATTTGTTATTAAATGTATGGTAATAAAAACTAGAATTTTTAAACTGTTACCATAGTTAACGTTAAAACTACCATATAATGGTTTAAATATCGTATATTTTGGTTTAATTACCAGAATTATTGTTTCTTTTACCAGAAATGTCTCTACCTTACAAGTATGGTAATTTTGCCAGAATTTTTTTCTCTCCATGCGATATGTTAATAAAAAAAACATTAACTAGCATTTATTTTATTCGTAAATTTAATCTCCATAAATTAAATAAATATCGCATTCTATCGCATAGTTTTAAAACTGTAATTTCACGAACAGTATTTAAAGAGAAATTAAAAGAACTAAAATAATTAGTTATAGCTAATTGATTTACTAAGTATTTGACTTAGTATAAACTAAAACAAATTAAATATTAGATTTTTCATGAGTATTTCAAAAGTACCTATTAAAAAAATTACAAATAACTTTAGCGTTATGATAAACTACAAATAGTTTTAAGAAATTTTGATTATTGCGAAAATTTATTGAAGACATTGATAAAAATCAAAACACTAGTTCTTTTGAACAAAATTTTTGGTTAACATAAAGAGGTTTTCCAATAAAACTTATAAAGGATAACATTTAAGCAAGTACAGCGTCGTATGTCTGATACACACACCTACCTGGATGGTAATTTTGTTCATTCCTGCACCTGCCAGAAAAGTTTTATTTTAACTTAAATTTTAAGTTAGAAGATTCAGAAACTGAACTATAAGTTTAAATTTAAATAACAAGCTTTGAGATTCCAAAATGTTAATTCTGAAAGTTCTTGCCTCCAGTTTATTAAAATATTCAAATATTCCTTTAGCAGTTGCTAGCATTTTAAAACCTTAACTTAGCTACCTGTTTTTAAAACAGTACTGGCAAGTCTGCTGGAAGATTTAAGATAAATCAGAATAATATTTATAATTTAGAGGCTGTTAAAGAAAATTATTACTATCATTTTAGAAAAAAGAAAAACGCAAATAAGCGATTTTTAACATGGAAAAGATATGCAATAAAATCCCATTAAATAAAGAAAATTAATTACTTTAATAAACTAGTTTATGATGTAAATTGCATATTATAAATTTATAATGCATTTTACAGGTATGAGGGCACATCCATTTTAAGTTCCTCGCGTAATTCATAATTTTGCGGAAGCAACGGAATCCGGTTGTTTTGTCGTGTGCGTTACGTCCTACGTTGTTAAGAAAACATGTCATGCCGTATGATTGATCCTCATTTGGCGATGATGCTTTCCTTCAACAATATTGCTAAGTTACTAAGTGCTTCCTATTTGATCCAAAATGAAACAGATAAGACTTAAACGTCACGACTTGAAGAATTGTTGATGCATTAGGCTTCTGGCGCGTGAAAAACTTTGGCAGCTAATATGTTAAACGAAACAGAAATGAGCAAGTCATTTTCAAAATAGGTCGCAATAAAAACAATTTATCACATTTAAATTTTTATAAACAATATTATTAAGTTATTTTGTAGATAGAGTAGTTAACTTTATTACTTGTATGCTTTCTTAAATAAAATTTTCTTAAATAAAATGTTCTTAAATAAAATTTTCAAAAATATACACGAACATAAGATTTTTTCCGTTATTACGACAAATAAAGACAAAGGCATCTAACAAAAGCTCACTTTTTGAAAAGATTTAACAAGCGTAATTGTAATTTTTGTGTATCAAAAATTAATTTTATTGCAATTCATTGTAATTTTTAAATGTCGAAAATTAATTTTGTCATAAATATAAAAAATAGGTTCAATATTTTTAAAGCATATTCATGCGCTTAATATTTCTTACAACGTAAACAATATTTTTTTTACTGTTTTTACTAAAGCAAAAGAAAGTTACAGAACCCGTTATCCGGAAATCGGAAAACCGGAAAACCAAAAAACCGGAGCGAAATTCAATAAATTTTCACGCCATTTAAAAAAAAAAAATTTTTTTTTTCCTCATAAGATTTTACGATTTTTCTTTCTTTTTTTAAAGATGTTTACCTTACCATCATTTTGGAAATAATCATTAGTGTATTACTTCATCGTTTTTTCTTATTTTTAAGATTATTTCCAAATATTTTTTTCTTTTTTAGTGGGGTTTAACTATAAAAAAATGGCTTATTGTTGCGATTCAGAAAACCGGAAAAATCAGTTATCCGGAATAGCGATGGTCCCGATCGTTCCGGATAATCGGTTCCCTACTAGTTGAATCATTGATTATTTCTTTAATTGCTATATTCATAAATAATTGCTTATCGAAACAGTCATTTAAAACTCGCACAATTCATTATTTTCCGAAATCAATTAGATTAGCTAAAATTCAAAAATTTTTATCTTCGTAAAAAAATAAGATAGATAAATAAAAACATATCGTTTTATATGACATAAAATATTCGGTAGTCTTTACGATGCTAAAGGTGTGCCATACCATTTTACTTATTGATTTGCTCTGCTTAGAAAAAATACTCGTATTCTGCGATTTCAAGGGCAATAAATCTTAAACATTCTTACAGTAGGGCGAGTAAGATTTAAGTTTTTTTTTTTTCTTAACTCACTTTCCTAGTTTTAACTCGAATCTTTGTTGAATATCTTCATAAATTATGAGATAATCTTGGGTGTTACCTAACAAGTACATTATTTGAATTTTGATTAAGGAAAAACATGACTACTCTCTTCGTTTTTATCTTTTTTAAGAGATTAAATATGGCCATGTTTAGTACTCATCTGAACCTGTGGGATGAAAACGTTTAGCGTTTTTAGTTTTTCGGGAGG